GTTGCATTAATGGTGGGTGTTGTAGTTTTAAAGGAATGGGGAAGATGAAATATGGCTGTCATTTCCTATAGATGTGCCAATTGTTGATATTATTTTTTATTTTTTAACTAGAAGAAGTTAGTGTAAGGTTGTTGAAGGTTGTATGGCCTGAACTTGTAGGTAGAAAATACAGCCAGTAAGGTCAGAGTTGTTTCTCTAGGTATGCTCCAACACTCAAGTCCATTGAACAAGAGGGAAGGTAAGGAAAGGGTGAGGTGTGTGAAGGAAGTTTCAATGGAAAGAATATGCTTAAGTGTGAAGTACGAGGATTGTCTTACATATATGAGATTTATCTTTATTTTATACATGAGATAAAAGGTGATGATTTCATTAAAATAGTTGACAGATGATGAAAAGTATATATAAAATTTGAGAAAAATTCATGTAAGTGATTATGAGTTGCATTTAATGATCTTAAATAAATAAAAATTACATTTAATGATTTCAGACAAGTTAAAGACTAAGTATTTAGTTTTGATATGATATCTTAACGAGACATTAATGGAGCTATTAGGTCGAGTCCTTTCCTTGACGAGGGGCGAGTCGTTTCTTTTAGTGTTGATGAGGTAGCAACTTGGGCGTGCATGGGGCACTGTCTGGGCAATCCAAGGGTTTGATCATGTTGACCAAAGGTTGACCGAGTAAATGGGTGTAACATTCATCATCCGTCATTGCAACCTCATCCAAGAAAAGTCAAAACAACAATCAATAATAACATAAATACATTAGCCAAAGAAAAAAAATCTAATAAAGAAAAAAGAGAGAAAAAAGTTTTACGGTTTATATGTATACCTTTTTTGGGTTTTTGGTGTTTTTAAGGTATGAATGAAAGGAATGGCTAGAAAAAGGTACTTATAGGCTTGGTTTGGGTTTTGAAGCAACAAAGTTGGGTTATTAAGGTGGAGCAACCGCTAGTTAAAGCTTAGATCAATGGCTATTCAAAGGTTTTTAAGAATATCTAATTGGAATGATGAAAATAGGAGTCTAAAAAGAGCAAATAAGAAAATTTTGAATGAAATTTGATGCTAGCAAATGGCTGGGGGTGGTAGGGATGAGAAAAAAATTGAAAAATCTAAAAATTTATTTGAAACGGTAGTGTTTGATTCAGTTGAAATCGATTTTTTTATATTCGATTTGGATCAAGTTCGGATATTAAATGTATATATTAAGTTTTGATCGGATTTCATCGAGAGGTAAAAAATTGAAAAAAAAAAAAAACCAAATTATATATTTTTCTTATTTTTGTATATATTTTAAATTTTTATAAAATAAAATAATAATTTTATATTAAAATTACTTAAATATATTAAATTTTATATTAAAATAATATATAAAAATTAAAAATGGATAAATCAAACTAAACCAATAAAATTCATTTTAGTTTAATTTAGATCGAATAAAGATTCGATTTGAATTTTAAAATTTCATAATATTATGTAATATTTAAAAAAATCGAATTAAATACGATCCAAACTGAACCGTTATCACCTCTAAAGGGTGATAGAGGATGGTAGCTGAAATATGGCCTTATGTTAATGGTTACTTGAAAAGCTAAAGGGTAAGGGAGAGCATATTTTGGTTATAATCAAAATAATCAACCTAAACTAAATTAATTAGGTAAAGTCAAGTTAGTTATTTTGGTTTTGATTTGAAGTTGATTAATGTTTCAATTTAATCGAGTTATTCGATTAGTTGTAAATATATATAAATAATAACTGAGTCGATTGAAAAAAAAAATTGATCATAATTAAATATTTAAACAATTAATATTTATTATTGATTTTTCATATTAAGTTATATCCTTCCATTTTATTTTACCCATTAAAATCCTAGCCCCTAAAATTTTTTCTTCTTTTCTAGATTCTCGACTCCTCTGACCTACCACCTTTTTTCTTCGATCTTTTTTTCTTAACCTATCTCTAATTCATCTTTTTCTTCTCTAATTTCTTCATGATTCTTTTCTAATTTCTTCAATTTCTTATCTTTCTCTAAGTCACGACTTATGCACCCTATGATTTCATCGCTAGTTTATTCAATTCTTCCTCCACCATGCACCAACAGCTTTGATATTAGTACCACAAATCCACAGTACCAGGCAGCGAGCATCTTTCTCCCAAAAAGGTTAATGACACATAACTTCTGCTTGTTGATTTAATATTTCTCATTTTGTTGATTTTTTTTCCTTTATGTCACTTTGATTGAACCTAATCTTGTTGTTTTATTTGTAATATCGTGATATTAATATGAGTAGTGTTGATTAATAGTGTTCAAATTCTTGAAGAAATCGCTACTCAACATTAAAATCAATAAAATTAGGTGAAATAACAAATTGGTAAATCAATAAAATTATCATAATCAATCGAACAAACCAAATTAAATTAGTGTTGTTAATTTTAGTTACGAATACCTTGGTCTGTCAATTCAATTATTCTCGAGATTAAATCAATTAAGTTGGTTTTGAAAATTAACTGATCAAAAAAACTAAGTCAGAATGTTTGCTCTGCCCTACTAAAAGGTGGAGAGAAGAAATTTTAGAAAGAGTAAAAACATATGAAAAATGAAAAAAAAAAAATCTTAAGGCTTTAATAATTAAGGTTTTATTTTGCCACATATGCACCGCGTGTGAATCATGAGTGTACAAGCTGACATATAACGTTTTTATTAATGATTTTGTTGATGGAAATATTGTTTCGTTATGATCATATAAATGTAAATTACATTTTGAATATTAAGAATCAAAATGGTATGCCTTAAGATTTTAAGGATTATGAAAATAATTTACTTAGACTTAATAATTTTAGACACAACATAGTTATATGAAAAAACATAACACAAAAAAAATCGTATTTATTTTAAAAAAAAACATATTTTATATTTTTTCGTGTTGATATTAATTTTGATATAACACAATTCGTATCTCATATATGTAGACACATTTAAACACGTGTAAAATACGAAAAATACATTTAGATAAAACATGTCACATGATTACATATTTAACACGTAAAAATAAGTTTAATTTAATCTTATCATACGAGTACACATCTAATATATTTAACACCTTTAGCATATTTTTTATATTTATTTTAATTTAATATAAACATATAAAAATTGGTTTAATTTTTAACTTTTAATTATATACTTAATTAGTTATTCAATATCATATAAAAATTATTTTAAATATTTAATTATGATACTCATTTAATAATTATTATAAAATTATTTTTTATATTATTAATATAAATATAATATAAATATTAATACTAGTTGTATACATCTTTATTTTATTTTTTTAATATTTCGTAATTCATTATTTTAAATTTAATACTAAAAAATAATATAATTATGTAATATATATTAAATTTTAAATATATATTAAATACATATTAAATGGGTATCAATTTTTTTTTTTTTTGATATGCAAATAGTTTATTATTAATATTTCAAGTTTATTAAGTTGTAAATGATAGATAGTTTATAATTATTTATTATTTTAAATAATTTTTGTATATATTCATGTTATTCATGTCTATTCGTATATATTCATATTATTCATATTTATTTGTATTATGCTTAAATAGATTAATTATACATGTATGACTCATATCGTATCATATGTAACACGTATAATAAACATGTCATATTCATGTTTTAATAATTCGTATCATTACACAGTAAAATACAACACAAAACACAATAAGAAAACACGAATTACTATATTTAAATTTACCCAACAAAATAAAAATCAAATTAATAAATTTTTAATAATTGAGATTGACAAAGATTAAAATCTGATTATTGAAATTAATAATCTAACATTATATCAATAAATTATATAACTATTAGCAACTAATGGATTTTTTAAACAATAAACACATGTTTAAATAATTTTAGAAAAAAATTTACATTTAATGTATCATTTTTATGAAATTTAATAATAAGAGATAATATATTAATTATATTTTAAAATATAAATTTAATTAATGTCACTAACAATTTAATTTATATATAAATAATAAAAAAATTTTAACTCATCATATACAAATTATTTTGTCATTCTTATTTATTGACTCCCTTTTTATAAAATTGATTTAATTAAAAACACATAAAAAAGCAATAAAAGAGGAATAAAACCAAAATGGAGTGTCATGTCAACATTTTTGTTGGCCTCATTTTTCACTAAATTTATTTAATTTAAAAAATTAAAAAAAAAAACCATAATGCAAAAAGATGAATTAATCTAAACTTGTTTCCAACCCAATTATAATTAAAAAAGGAATCACCCTACCTTGACCAAATCCAAAAAATGATTTATTTTTATTAGATTGAGACAAATCGAAACAGTCAAAAGTGAATTATATGGTCATCCTTACATTCACTTACTTTTTACAAAAATTATTTAATGAAAAAAAAAAAAACTAAATAAACTAAAAAACGGGAAGGGGCAAAAAAAAAAAATGAAAATGAAAGGCTAAAGAAAATGAGCGTCTTACGAACATCTCCATCGAATTCTTTTTCTTACAAAATTTAATGTATCAATTTAAAAAACATAAAAAAGCTAAAAAAAACAAAAACTTTAAAAAGAATTCCCTGAAAAAAGATTAAAAAAAATATTCGAATGCTACGTAAACACCTGCATTTGCATTTTTTTATTATAAAATTATGTAACTTAAAAAAAAGATTAAAAAATCTTTTTTTATAAAAATATCAAATGAACCCCGCATAAAAAAATTTTAAAAAATAAAATCTAAAGATTTAAATCTTCACGATACTAAGCTGAAGTTCATTTTATAAATATAAATCAAATATATTTATTAATATTTTAAAATATGCCTCTATAGAATATATATAATAACTCTAATTTCACTGATAGATTTAGGGGCTATACTAATAAAATATGAAATTATATATATACTAGATTTTGTTCTTACTTTTTAACAAAAAAAATTTAGCCAACAAATTTTTTTCTTAAGAAAAAAGTGACGGATTCTATTTCCCACAGGCAAAGCTGAACATATCAAAGAGGTATAAAGTATACCAAAAAAAGAAAAAGAAAAAGTGAAATTTCGTGTACAAAATTACAAAATATTCTGTATTTGTTCGTGAGAGTATAAAAATGATAGAGAAGAAATATAGGTGATAGACAATACCAAATCCCCCCTCCCCCTTTAAAAAAAAAAAAGAATTTAATGTGGTTTTAGCTGATTTTACCTTGACTTGTACTCTGTGCAAGTGCAAAATAGTGAATGTCGTACCATCTTATCCGAGGACTATGCGCTAATTTCCCAGTCTCTCCTTGTTATATTGCTGTTTAAATTCCAGACAAAACAGTGTCACTGGCAGTCATCTAATCCGAAAATCCTTTACCAAGTTATTTACATGGTTCTCAAGTGGTTTATGCCAGCATTTGAACTTATACTACACTGGTGCTGGTTCGAGATATCCTCTGAGCTTCTCCTAGGTCCTTCAAAAACCTGCATTTAAGCCAAAAACAATAATTCAAGAAAAGCCTGCCAGGCAAAGTTCGGCAATCATTAAACCAACATCTACTCTACTTATAAAGCAGTTTTTATATTTGATTTAGCACATAAGATTGACATCTTTAGACTTAACAATTTTAAAAATAACATGATGATACAACATGAAAATAATATGAAAAAATACATGAAAACAACACAATTTAAAATTTTAATAAAAATTGTATATGGGTTTGAAGAAAACCAAAAATTTGTTTCATGTTTGACAAGTGGACACAAATTGTTACATGGTAATTTTAGAATTTTACACATATTTGACACAAAATAGACACAATATAGATACATGAACTGCCATGTCTTGGACAACTTAGAAGGAAATGAAGGAAAAAAACTTTCTAATCTTAACTCATTAAAATCAGAACTCAACTACTTGGTACTGGCTCCATAAATCTTATTTTATATTTTTGTCAATAATTCATTTTGTAAAAAAAGGACTACATACAGATCACTAGGATACCTTTTTCAAGCATATTGATATGGACGTATGTACAAGAACAAGAGAATTTCCACAGCCTACCTCTTAGAGTTGAGAACTGCCGACCCCCCAAGTATAAAACGAATTCCAGAATTGCTGGCATTTTGCAGAGCTACAGAACGAGACTCCTCATAAGTTGTTCCGCCAATAATGAATATAATTACCTCCTGTGGCCTGTGTAGAGGTGGAATATGCATCATTGAAAAATTATTAATTGATCTTCATACATCTTTCTTTCCTCATATATGTTTTTATCAGTAATAACATAATCTTACACAAGTAAGACTTTTCCTAAATATCAACGAAGTTCCACCCAAAATGTGTGGTCTGCCAAAGGCTGCTCTCATGCATTTTGTATGTTGTTTAATGCAACAAGTAATGCTAGTTAATGCTAGTTCTAAGGCTGCAAATGAGCCAAGCCCATGTGGTTTTGGACACCCTTTTTTTGGAACTTTGAAAAACATGTTTCCTTCCTTGTTCAAAGGATTAAACGTTGAAGAGTTTTATTGTGATGTTTGTGAACTTGCAAAACACAGACGTGTATCTTTTCCAATTAGCAACAAAAGAAGTTCTACTCCCTTTTACTTGATTCATAGTGACATCTGGGGTCCCTCTACAGTTCCTAATATTTCTGGGGCAAGATGGTTTGTGTCATTCATAGATGATTGTACCAGGGTTTCTTGGGTTTTTTTACTTAAATCCAAATCAGATGTGAATAGTGTGTTTTTTAGCTTCCAAAACATGATCCAAAATCAATTTGGAGTGAGAATCACGAGATTTAGGTCTGATAATGCAAGAGACTATTTCAATCAGAGTCTATCCACCTATTTCCAAAATGAGGGGATTATCCATGAGTCATCTTGTGTTAATACTCCACAGCAAAATGGAGTGGCAGAGAGAAAAAACAGCCACTTACTAGCCACAACCCGAGCCTTCCTTTTTCAAGCAAATGTGCCCAAATCTTACTGGGGGGAAGCTGTTCTCATTGCTACACACATTATAAATAGGTTACCTTCAAGGGTTTTGGGATTTAAAACTCCTATGGAACTACTCTCACAATTCTATCCCAACTTTAATACCACAAACAACCTCACACCTAGGATATTCGGTTGTACATCATTTGTTCATGTTCACAGTCATAATAGGGGAAAGTTGGATCCGAGAGCAATTAGGTGTATCTTTGTGGGGTATTCATCAACTCAGAAAGAGTATAAGTGCTATCATCCTCCTACCAAAAAGTTCTATGTGTCTGCAGATGTCACTTTTGAAGAAAGTAAACCATTTTTTACTCAACCTTATCTTCAGGGGGAGACATCATTTATAGAAGATAAGGATAAAGACTTCTTTTTGCTTGACTTGTCATCCTCCTCCAAAACAGTTTCACCCATTAATTCTTTTGAACCTAAACCCATTTCTTCAGAGTCCAAGTCAAACACTGATTCTAAATTTGAACCCATTCCAAACATAGAAGTTGTGACTAAAGATAATACTATTCTCGATTCTGTGAAAGAATTACAGGTGTACTTAAGAAAAAAAGTTCCAGCTCCTGAACCGGTGCAAATCCAAGAACCTGATCCTAACTCTGAAAATGAGGTAATTACAGTCTCTGATTCTATTTCTCAAAATGAGCATGACTCTCATAAAATTAGTGATTATGATCTACCTATTGCCATTAGGAAAGGAACTAGAGAATGTACTAAACATCTATTATACCCAATCTCTAATTTTGTGTCATTTGAAAAGTTTTCACCATCCCATAAAAATTTTCTTGTGAGCCTAGACACTATTTCTATTCCAACTACATTATCTGAGGCATTATCCAATGAGAAATGGAGGCAGGCGATGAAAACAGAAATGGAGGCCTTAGAGAAAAATAAGACATGGGAACTGGTAAAGTTGCCTGCAGGAAAACATCCAGTTTGGTGTAAATGGGTTTTCACTGTAAAGTATAAGGCAGATGGTACTATTGAAAGATACAAGGCTAGGCTGGTGGCTAAGGGCTACACTCAAACTTATGGAGTGGATTATCAGGAAACTTTTGCTCCAGTTGCCAAGATGAATACAGTTAGAATTTTATTATCCTTGGCGGCAAATTACAATTGGCAGCTTCAACAATTTGATGTAAAGAATGCCTTTTTACATGGTGATTTGGAAGAAGAAATATATATATGAAAGTTCCACCGGGATTTGGGGGTCATCTAGAAGCACAAAAAGTATGCAAGCTGAAAAAGGCTTTATATGGTCTTAAACAGTCTCCTAGGGCCTGGTTCGGGAGATTTGCCAAAGTGATGCTAGGAATGAAATATAAGCAGAGTCAAGGGGATCACACACTGTTTATCAAGCACTCAGATTCGCGTAAGGTCACAATTCTATTAGTATATGTTGATGATATAATTGTAACTGGAGATGATGAAAAAGAAAGAGAGTCTTTAAAACAGTGTTTGGCCAGAGAATTCGAGATAAAAGAGCTAGGGAGATTGAAGTAGCCCACTCACGTCATGGTATTTTTATCTCACAACAGAAATATGTGATGGATCTTTTGAAGGAAACTGGGAAGCTCGCATGTAAACCTGCAAGTACCCCTATAGATCCTAATCATAAGCTTGGAGAAGCTAATGAAGATACTGCTGTAGATAGAGAGATGTACCAGAGATTAGTTGGAAGACTTATTTATCTCTCACATACTAGACCTGACATAGCATATGCTATGAGTGTGATAAGTCAATTTATGCATAGTCCTAAAAAAGTACACCTACAGGATGTCTACCGTGTACTACACTATTTGAAGACTAATCCTGGGAGAGGTATCTTGTTTAAAAGAAATTCAGGGTTGGTACTAGAGGCATATACAGATGCTGATTATGTAGGTTCAGTAATTGACAAAAGATCTACCTCAGGCTACTGCACTTTTCTAGGTGGTAATCTTGTAACTTGGAGGAGTAAAAAACAAAATGTGGTGGCAAGATCAAGTGCTGAAGCAGAGTTTAGGGCAATGGCTCAAGGAATTTGTGAATTACTATGGTTAAAGATTATTCTAGAAGACTTGAAGATCAAATGGGATGGACCAATGAGACTTTACTGTGATAATAAATCTGCAATAAGCATTGCACACAATCCTGTGCAACATGACAGAACAAAACACATTGAAGTAGACCGGCACTTAATAAAGGAAAAGCTAGACAGTGGATTGATTTGCACCCCATATGTATCCACCAAGGGTCAACTTGCAGATGTGTTGACTAAAGGTCTCAATAGTGCCACATTTCAGGAAATTATTTCCAAGCTGGGAATGGAAAACACCTATTCACCAGCTTGAGGGGGAGTGTGGGAAAACATTTAGTTACAAGTGGTTGTATCTTGTAATCTGCTGATTGTAATCTATATATATTTGTATCCCTAAAATTGAGAATTTGTATCTCTAGAATTAATGACAGAATATCAGGATAGACAATTCCTTGATTATAGGGATTAGATTTAGGAATATTTAATTTCCTAGTTTACTCTCTAGCTAGCTGTATTTAAATCTATGGTGTTTGTATGATTAAACACACAAGTTTTCAATATACTCTCATTTTTCCACATATCCCCTACTCTAGGGTCGGCTGTATGAAAGACCAAATAACGGAATTATGTTAGGTTGTAGTTTGAATCTTTTTGCGCCACTCATTTCTATTAACAACCTTTTCATGTAATACCTTTAACCATTTTATCATTTTTTATTACTTGCATCCATGTCTTTCGTGATCTGCCTCTAAAAGTTTTAATCTCTCCTAGATCTAGAGACTCATTTCTTCTAACCGGTGCACAGCTAGGCCTACGTTTCACATGTCCAAACCGTCTCCCTCTCTCATCTTCTCCTCAATTCAAACAACCCCTAATTTTTCTCAAATCTCTTCATTTTGATTTTGTCTCTTCTAGTCTTACCACACATCCATCTAAGCATCCTCATCTCCGCTACGTTCAAGCCCACTCTCATCAAATGCCTCCAACTAACTTTTAAAATTAGTAGCCACATGGTACTCAAATCATCCACCATCAACTTCACTGAAGGCCAGCAGTGAACTAAACATGCAAGTTTAAATATCAAGGGGCATCCACATTAAAACATTAAATAGCTGATATTAAATTTATTGTAACCATAAAGATATTCCATAAACAAAGAGATCAATTGCAAACTTTCCCAACAAAGTTGGAAAACTTTATTATGTAGTAACAGACCTGCCCTGCTGAAAATGATTTCCAACATATGGGAAGTCAACATCTCGCAACCGTCCTTTGGTTATGCTTTCCATAGTTTGGAACAGAAGAGGCTGGTGCTGGGTGTAGACATTCTCAACACCCTAGTAAGAAAAGTTGAAAAATGATCTATAAGCAAATGAAGAAATATCTTTCCAAGCAAATAAGTAAAAGCTTTTCCAATAAACCTTTAGTCCACGAGCCATGTTGCGAGCAATATTCAGAAAATCACGATTTCCATAAAGATCACCAGTACGCTTATCAACCCCTGCTTGCTTTAGGAGAAATTGGACAAGCTGTTCCACAATTGCCAACAAATTAAAACCAATTTTCTCTCATTTAAACACAAGGATTAAATAGCTCTTAACATAATTGCTGACTAATTCAGCTTCACAGAGAGAATTGACCAATGAAAGAACTGCAATGGGATATAAAACAGCTACAGCTTAAATAGAAAGTTAATTTTTACCAACAAAAAGAATTTTTAATTAGATCACTAGAACATCAAAAGAGAGATCTGGTTTTATGAACCATCATTATGATGAGCATTACGTGAAATGCAAGTAGAACAACGTGCATGTTGGTTATGTTACCCCAGGCTTGTACTTGGCAGATCGAGATGCCAGTTTGTTGAATAGCTGCATCAATTGGACAGGGCTCTCCTTCTCATAGCGCAAAGCATACAGCATTACAAGGCATAGTCGGTCAATATCAGAGATACTTTCATTGTTTAGAAGATTTGTCACTGCCTGCAAAGAAGGTAATCAGAGATTGTCAAATGCACCCTGTGTTTATTAGGGATAGCAAAACTACCCATATCTAACAAGTTCCAACTCACCTGATCCGATAAGAGCTTTTTTTTTTTTTTTTAAATCAAGGTAGGGCAAGGTAGGTAGGAAGCATGGACAGGGACACCCAATACGGCTACAAGAAGACACGGACACAATGACACGACAATTTTTTAAAAATGATGACACGGGTATGACAAGACACGACACGAAAAAATATTATTATATGTTTTTATATCTATAATTTTTATATAAATATAAATTAAACACAATTAAAAAGTAATTAATGATGTATATAAAAGCAAAATAAAATAATATTATAAACACAATTAGAATTGTGTAGAAGAAAAAATTAATAAACACAATTATAACTTTATTAATTTAATTTTTAATGCCAATAGATTATAAGATATTAAATTTATTAAGTAAATTAAGTATTTTTCCTTTTTTCTTTCTTTTTCCTTCTTTTTCTTCTTCGCACCTCTTCTTTTCTTTTTTTCCCTTTCTTCCTTCCCAGACACACCGTTTAGATGCTGTTATAAATGACCCGTATTTTTTTTATTTCATTTTTTTTCTTCCTCCCTCTCTCTCTACATCTCTCATCCCTATCTTCTCTCTTATTCCATTTCTTCTCTCCAGATTTCAGCATGCTACCCAAATTCAGACGCGCTACCACCGGAACAGCTGCCACCGAGCACCGTCATCCAACAGCTTTTTTCAACCAAAAAATCACCCCAAATTTGTCTTAGCCTGCTCTTTCTTCCTATCTAGCTAGATTTCCCAAAAACAATTAGAAAAGCCTAGATCTACAAAAAAATCCTCGGTCTCTATCCCCTTTTTTATTGTTTTCCACCACCAAACTCGTGTCCAAAGGTGTCTTGATCATTTAGGAACCGTGTCCAAGTTGTTTTTGTTTTTTCCATGTCCTGTACATATTCTGACACATCAGCAGCGTGTCTGTGTCCGACACCAGTATGGGAGGGTAGATGCCATGTCCATGCTTACTAGAGGGTGGGTTTTCATATAACAATAGTCAATGCAGGTCGGATGCGGATTTAAGGGTACTCCACTCCAAGGTATATATATATAGAAATATATATTTTATTATTTATTTAATTTTAAATTTATATATGTACTACATTAATTAAGATACTAGCTGATACTTTAATTTAAGAGATTAACTTAATAAAATACTATATTTATATATAATTAAGATGTAATTTATATTAAAAAATACTATTTTTTATGAATATTATACTAAATTAAAATTATTGAATTAATTCCAAGTAAAGTCGGGTCAAATGCAGATTATACATATATGTGTTGAGTTGGTTCAGGTATCAAAAGTAATGATCCAATCTCAGGTCGGGAGGGGCAAAGTCGAATAGAACTATTAAAAAGTCAAGTCGGGTGGAAGCAAGCATAAACCCAACCAGCCCAATTGCCACACCCAGTATCATTCCAAATCATAATGTAAAATTTTATTCTATGATCATCTCCAAAATATAATAGCTTAAATGGAGTATCATCTATATGTCAGACCAGTAAACTAAAAAAACTACAACTGAATCAAATGATTAAAACAAATACTGGGGACAAATTTTGATGTGTAAGTAGTAACCTAAGGTAGATTTAATGAAACGATGGGTAAATAAAGAACTTGATTAGCACTAAATGAGGACAAAAATAATTACTGCATAATATGTGTATTGTAAATAAATCATGGTTTCCATTCCAATGTAGTGCATTATTTCTTTTGATAATGAGGTCAGGGGTATCCCCAGGCTTTACCCAGCCATAATCCCTTTCCTAGGATGATCTAAGGGTGCACTCCCCCACTTTAGTTAGGTGCATGCAGGATTTTACTCCTAGAGAGCTCGCCAAAATGACAGAACCCTCATTGATAAGGAAAGGGAGCTCCTCTCCTTACCAAATAGACAAACCTTTGTGGGTATAGTGTGAATTATTTTTTGTCATAATCAGTTAAATATACATTTGGTATCCAATTATACACTATTGATCATCTGCAGCAAGAATTCAACAATATGTAAACTTGGTCCTGATGACCTATATTTCTTCCGTCTTTGCTCCTTATTTCTTCATACATTTTTGGCCAAAAATATTCCTTCAGACATCTGTTTGGAAAATTAATGCTCTTTTATTTCATTCCTTCGTCTATTGGCCACTGTTTCAAACAATATCACAACTATGTTGCTGCTTGTGCAGCATAAGAAATTGAAAATAAACAGGAAAACATAATGGTAAACCCCATTAAATAGGAATAATGGTAAACCCCGGTAAACCGCATTATTACCGGCTTCTTACACGTTTGGACGCTCTGAGTTTGCAGTCTCTATCATGCACATAAATAAATAGCATCTAGGTATTTCGGCTACAGCTAAAATATTATTACTTCATTCTAAATTTTTGTTTATTATTTAATGTGTAAGGGACAAAATTACTTCTTAGTTATTCTTCTATAAACTCCTTTGTCAAAGCCATGTAGCTCATTCTTCTCCAAAGTGCAAGAATCCTTCTTTACTTTAAACAAGAACACAGTAAGAGAAAAAAAATACGCTCATTTATTGATCTTGAACCAACACTTACCCCTTGAGAACAGTTTCACTTTCAGATATATCCAATGCAGCTTGTTCATCTATTCCTTTCAACTGTGGCTTTTATCAATCAATCTCAACCCTTGTAAGAAGCTTTTCACCTTTAACATCCCAAAACAACAAATTCAAACATATTTCATTCATAAACCCGTTTTTCCCTGCAGTGACTCCTAGGATCCAATCCTTTGGTCTAACACCACTTAGTATATTTCAGATTTTCCTCTGGTACTGGTGGTCTTTCCTCTTAATGCTTCTACCACAAAATCACCACTTATAATAGCATTAGATTTGTAAAATATCTTATGTATCTTAATGTAGATCTAATTGACATATTTACACTCAAACAAATATGGTGCTAAGAAAAATAAAATATTGATAAAACAAACACATGTACAATTGTACACTACCTCAAAAGCAGCAACTTGCCCCCCATTGCAGGCCAGCTCCTGCTCAGTTTCTGAAACCAACATAAGCTTTCTCTCTTCAACTATCTTGCTCATTTCCGTTACCAATGTCACATGCTTTGAAACATTCCCATGCATTTTTCTGTACTCAGGGTAATTGTCTACAAATTTGGCCATGTCTTCTGCAGAAATTCAAAAGATAATTATTTAATGGCCTGTCTCAGCTCTCAGTAATAATTACCAAAATGAATTACTAATAAATCTGCAGTACTCAATTTTGTTTCATACAAACCTATTGTCTGAATAGTTTGGTTACTTTTAGCAACTTGCTGAAAATCATCTACCATTCGCTTGATATTCATTCCAATATCTCCAAAGTTTTCATACATGTTAGCTTTGAAGAAAGCATCTTGTTCTGATGAAAGCACGACTTCCTGTAAGCATGAGACTACAAAGATAAACCACTGCAATATATTAAAACAAATATGTCTGGTGGAGGGGAAGATGCAATCAACCTCTTGATCTTTGGGAAATTTGCCGATGCTTCTCAAATCCACTTTGTTATCCTGAATACCTATCAACTCATTGACCATTGCCTACAACAGATAATTCAGCAAATGGTGATGTTCCTATCCATAAGAACTGGTAACATATCAGTCAGAACTACATGTACCTGATAGGTCCATTGATTCAGCAATGGAGTCACAGGATCATCCCTTCTGTCAACTATCAGCAACAATGGAGACATTTCCATCCGTCTGAAGTCAAAAAGACCACTTTCTTGCTGGTACATTAGTTTCTGTCAAATCCCCAGAAAATCAGTGCCTTTAATGACTTCAAAATTTGTGGAAGAAACTTAAAGTTTCTTATCCATAATAAAACTTTAAAATATTTTAAAATATGAACATATAAATATATTGAAGGAGTCTTGACACAATTAATTAAGCAAAACCTAGAACAGTTTTATAGAAAATTCTGGTATAATAGTTGCAGTAGTGCAATTTTACTTACTGCTGTTTCATGCGCAATCCTTTTTGCAATATCAGAGGTACTTGAATATCTAATAATTGGTCTTCGTTTTAATGCCAAGAAAACTGCAGCAATGCCATCAACAGCTCGGTCACAGAAGTGCTGCAAACTAGAAGGGTCCACAACTGCTGGGAGCATATAATGGTGATTTGAGGGCATATTTAAAGTGAAGTGGTAAGGATCAACTGCAATGAAGTCTGCATAAAACTCCTGTAAGATCAAGATGACAACCATATAAGAGTTCAAAGGTAAACTTACAAATCTGGTTTAAAAGTATAGTGCATACCAGAAATACTCTTAAAATGTAATTAGAAGCAACAGAAACATATGAACAAGTCTATGCTATTAAGGACAATACACATTGTCCCACATAGGGAGGTGAATTGGACTATAAACATATAACATATTCATGTCAGTATACAACAACACTTAAATCAACCCTTTCAATTTTGGAAATGCATCATTTATAGTCAAGAAGAAAACATTCCCCATTGATACTTAGGTCAAACTATTACTAGAATGACCTCGTCATGATGTTAAAGAGTTTGCTTTATCACACACAGCTACTCTTAGAAAAGCATAGTCCTTGATGGGGGGTTTAAACATGGTCCTTACTTAAAGATTTATCAATTAAACAATGAGCTCTCAAGAGTTCAACCTATCCCCTTGGCATTCAGAAGATCTCAATGATGCACCAAAAATGGCTCTCTTTTTGCATCTTCTAGCAAATTTACTATATGATAGTTTATGTGGAAAATCGATTACTAACCAAATTTGATTAGCTGCCATTCATTTAGTATTTTGGTTGTTTCCTAAATAAAAGGGATTTGGTTTATTGACCAAATTCCTACTTGGTAGTTTCCATTTATTGTTAAAGGATTTTTAGGTGATTTGTTATCATCTCTAGGATATCATGGGATTTGCCAACAATTTTCCCATGTGTGTCCTGCCTTCTAACAGTGGTCACACCATGGTCTGTTACCTTTCTTCTGTCGATTTTCACCACCTTGGTAGGATTTTGGTCTTCATGCAGCAAGGGCTGAGTTTTCTATCTCTTGTGCATTGCATGATGCCCCTAGCATCACTTTCCTTCTACTCTCTTCCCAACAGACCTCAGAGAAAACTTCTCGAATGCTAGGTAATGGCTTGATGCTAAGAATTCTCCTACGAACATCATCAAGGCTCTTGTTTAGACCAAGTAGAAACTTATAAACTCAGTCCTTCTCCACTATTTTCCTGTATTGTTGGCTATCATCAGGACACTTCCGTGCTATTTCTTCAAAGATATCTAATTGCTGCCAATAACGAGTTAAAAAATTAAAATATTCTGTGATAGAGAAGTCTACTTGCCACAGGTCATGTAGAGTGCTTTTGATCTCGAATATTGCAGACATATCGTCTAAGTTGGAGTAGGTTTCTTTCACAGCATCTCAAATATCCTTGGCAGTTTTGTAGTACATGAAATTTAACCAATCTCGTTGGTCATAGAATTGATCAACCACGACATTACCATGCTATTCTCCAACTTCCAGGGTCGATACTTTGGGTCATCCTCACTGGATGAAACAGCCATTGCTGTTAGATAATCTTCCTTACCTTTTCCACAGACAAACAATATCACTGATTGAGATCATTGGATGAAGTTTTGTCCATTGAGTTTGTGATCAATGATAGGCAAAATAGAGGGCTCGGACACACCTATGCTGCTGGCCATGGTGTAGATAGAAAGAAAAAAAAATATATAGGTTTTGATGATTCAAGATGAACGCTCTGATACCATAAAGATATTCATGAGAATTTTATTTATGAATTCTTAAGAAACATTCTAGAGTACAAGAGAATATATATAGCCAAAACATCAGATCTGGCAAATCCTATGATATCCTAGAGATAATGGTATCAAAAACCTACCCTCATGTCCAAATCATTTCCTCCATACCAGTCAAAGTGTTCGGATGTACTATCTTTGTTCATATACAACAATAACAACGTAGTAAACTAGACCCCAGATCACTCAGGTGTATATTTCTTAGCTACTCACCTAACCAAAAAGGCTACAAATGTTATTCACCAACTACTCGAAAGTTTTACACTTCCATGGATGTCACCTTCTTTGAGAATCAACCATTCTATCCCAAAGCCAATATTCAAGGGGAAAGTTCTAAGGAATATCAACTTTGGTATTTTGAACTATCATTTGATCTTTCCTCTACTTGTCTACCAATTCAAATTCCCGTTTCAAATAATTCTTCTTCTTTTTCCCAGTCAACTAGTCATCTTGAGTCTCAAAAATCTCCTGAAATCGCACAAGAGACAAAAGCTAAGGAAATTATTGTATACTTAAGGAGACCGAAATCTCAAAAAGAGATGGCGACCTGTACATCTCCAACACAGAACCAAGATTCTGAACCAAATCCAAAGATTTTTGAAATTCATACAGGTAACACAATTACTGAACCTATCTCTGATGATTTTCCTAGTGATCTTGATAAGCCCCTTGCTATAAGAAAAGGTGTGAGATCATGTACTCAGCACCCTGTTAGTTACTTTGTTTCCTATGAAAGGTTGTTTCCTACTTACTAAGAACTGGTTACATCATTAGCTGATGTTCATATACCGAATACCATCCAATAAGCGCTCGAACAAACAAAGTGGAAAGCTGCGGTAATGGAAGAAATGCAAGCACTACAAAAGAATGGCACATGGAAAATTACTGATCTTCCTAAAGGAAAGAGCCTAGTGGGATGTAAGTGGATTTTTACTATCAGACACAATACAAACGGAAGTGTGAACAAATTCAAGGCTCGTCTTGTGGCTAAGGGGTTCACTCAATCTTATAGGATTGATTATGAAGGGACGTTTACTCTTGTAGCAAAACTGAATTATGTCCGTGTGTTACTATCACTTGTTGCAAACCTAGATTGGCCTCTTCACCAACTCAATATCAAAAATACATCTCTGAATGGTGATCTAGTGGAAGAGGTCTACACAAAGATTCCTCTAGAGTTTGACAACCAGGACAACATCAACAAGGTGTGTAAGCTTCAAAAATCCTTATATGGCCTCAAACAATCTCCTCACACCTGGTTTGATCATTTGACTAAGGCTTTAAAAAAGAATGGGTTCTTACAATGCCAATTTGACCACACTATATTTGTCAAACATTCACCAAATAGCAAGATTGCTATTATGATTGTTTATGTTGATGATATTGTCCTCACAGAGGATTATGAAAAGGAAATAGTTGGATTGAAGACTCTTCTAGCTAAAGAGTTTGAAATAAAGGACTTGGGACAACTTCAATATTTTATTGGCATGGAAGTAGCTCAATCAAGAAATGGTATTTTAGTTTCACAACAAAAATATGTACTCGATCTTCTCAAAGAGACAGGGATGCTCGGATGTAAACCAATAGATACTCCGACGAACCCAAATGTCAATATGGGAACCAGAGACTTGTGGAAAAGTTACTTTATTTGGCGCACACTAGACCTGACATTGGCTTCTCTGTAAGTATGGTGAGTAGATTTATAAAGAATCCTACAAAGACACACATGGAGGCAGTATACTGGATCCTTCAATACTTGAAAAAAAATCCGGGCAAAGGGTTGCACTTCCGAAAAACACTAACTAGAGATGTGGAGATTTTCTTTGATGCAGATTGGGCTGGTTCTATGACAGATCAAAGGTCAACTACAGGGTATTGTACAAATGTGTGGGGCAACTTGGTCACCTAAAGGAGCAACAAACAAGTAGTGGTAGCTTGAAGTAGTGCTGAAGCTGAATTTAAGGCTATGTCTCATGGCATTTATGAAGGAATTTGGCTTCAGAGAATGCTACAAGAACTGAAAAAGTCAGCTGGGAATTCAATGAAACTGTTTTGTGATAATAAAGCAGCTATTAACATTGCCAAAACCTTGTTCATCATGATCAAACGAAACATGTAGAGATTGATCGCCACTTTATCAAAGAGAATATTGAAAAAGGCGCAGTCAAACTGGTCTATACTCCAACAGAACATCAGACAGTCGACATCCTCACCAAGGCTCTTCATCGTGGCAATTTCAAGAATTTGAAGTCCAAGTTGGGTATGATTGATATCTACCACCCAACTTGAGAGGGAGTGTGGAAGACCAATTCCTAACCAGATTTGATTAGCTGTCATTCATTTAGTATTTTGGTTGTTTCCTAAATAAAAGGGATTTGGTTCATTGACCAAATTCCTACTTGGTAGTTTCCATTTATTGTTAGAGGATTTTTAGGTGATTTGTTATTATCTCTAGGATATCATGGGATTTGCCTAATTTGATGTATTAGCTATATATATCCTTTTGTACTCTAAAATGTTTCTTAAGAATTCATAAATAAAATTCTCATGAATCTCTTCAGTTTACCCAACTATGAATAAAATCTAGACCTGGTAGTTACGACCAATTTTATTGTTAAATAAAGAGCCAGATAATGAAATGCAAACTATACATAACTTCCAGTCAAGAAAAACAGTGGCAGCATATTAGAGTTACCTGGACTTGCTGGACAACTTCCTGTTCATCTGAATCGGCTAAAAGATGAATCTCGGTATCCTTCAACATGTTTGAGAAAACTGCAAAAATCCACTATGAAATGAAATAGGACTACAAGGAAAAAATGTCAGACTGGGTAATAAAAAATTTGCATATTTTCAGAGTAAAATCAATGAAAGATACAAAGAACTTACACAAGTGATACTCTCCAAACCTAGGATTTGATAGCTGACGCCGCATATGCTGAATGTTTTCTGAAGTAGGCCGAAGGAAATAAACTGCCTTGAGATGCGACATAGATTCTTTTGACTTGGAAATGGAGTCTATCAATTCTACCAAAAATACTTCTTTCTGAAGTAGCTCTGACTGTGAATAAACAACACTCACAATGCTTACCTGTGACTCAGAGAACAGAATAAATTACCCCGATTCAAAACCACATTTTCTTTTCCTTTTTGAAGACTCGTTTGTTAGTATTATGTTGATCCATGAAGAAACCTCATTTGCTAGCAACAAAAATGCAAATATACTAATGTGTTTGGTTGGAAACTTTTGTTTATGGGAGTTATAGATGACCTTAGGGACTTAAATTGTTACGTACAGTTAGGACTAGAAAAAATTAGTAAAGACTCCAGCACATTTCCAGATATCTATTGAGGTAAAGAGGTCATTTCTCTAGCTAATTCCCCGGTTTTCTAGCTTGGATTGTTCCTTGATGTCATAATCTTGGAAAAGATGCATTTAGGCTTTGTTTGGATTGAGGGAAAGGGGAGGGAGAAGGAGTGGTAAGCCCCGCCCCCTTTTTCACCTTTCTTTCATTTCCCTTCTACTCTTTTTCTTTTTTTTTTTTTTTTTTTGGGTGAGATACAAATAATGGGAACTTAGAACCCCTCTCCTCTCTTCTCTTCTTCCTCCATTGCCCTTCTAGTTCTTAGACTACCATCAACTACATCAAACACATCAAAAAGAACGAAAGTCAGATTTTCTCCTTAAGTAGTTTAATAACATCAATTTGGTATAATCCAAAACCAGTTGTGGTCGCAAAATGAAGAAACCAAAAAACTTGACAATCATTATAAAGTTGTGTACCATCATAGCAACCATGTCTGCTTCCAAATTTACATGAATCCCAAAGGCCTGCAATAGAGGATGGAGATGATCTCCCTCTCCAACTACTTCATTCAACATAAAATTATCAATTTCCAGCTCAAACAGTCAAATTACTTACATCTACATTTAGCAAGGCTTACAAATTCTCAAATCTACACCAGAAAATCAACAAAAATCATGTAAGAAACATTCAAACAACTGCGTTAAGCTTCATCCACCAAGAACTAATAGTAATTTGCTCATCAAAAAGCTACAATAAGCCACACCAGCCGATCACTCATAGGCTCCGCGATAAGAAAAGATCCGTTTTATACACAAGCAAACCGAAAAATGATAACAATAAACTCCCCCTAATTAACTAGCAGCAAAATTCGAGGCCTCATTGCTAATTAAATGCCAAATCTGTTTGTACTAAATTGAAAATGATCATTCAGTTCCTAATTATCTCTAATTTTTCTACCCTCAGATCATAACAATTTCCCACACTACACTATTTCCAATTAAAGTGACAAGATATGTGAAATTAACGATAAAAATAAAATCAATAAATTTAAGCAATATTTTAGAATTTATTCAGATTAAATTAAAGTAAAAAAGGATTAAAAAGAAAAAAATTTTGCTTACCGTTTGAGAATCGAGAATAAGGACTTTCATGCCGGAGATGTCCTGTAGCATCCGATTGACATAATCCCGTACGGCCGATACCAGCACCATCTTCGAATTTTCTCTAAACTTAGCCCTTTAAGACCGGTGGCTGTGATTGATGATCAGGTAATGAGCTGTGATGTTCCCGCGAAGTTGGAACTTTTTTTTTTTTTGGAGCAAAAGAAGATTCAGATCTGTTTAAGCGTAGAGGGGAATAGAATTTTTAGAAATCTGAAAAATGAAAATACAAAATGAGAAGACGAATCCAAACGCCGTGTTTCGCTCTAGTTTGTGTAGTGTCAAACGCAGCGTTTCACGTTCTATGTCCTTTTCTTAGGTTTGAGTTGTAAGAGATTCTTTTACGTTACGTACATTTTTTTTATCTGTCCAATTATTCTAATTGTCCTTATCCAATCTTATATAGCATTATGACCGGATAAAGTTGCCATACCATACACATCGTGAAATTAAAAAATGTCCTTATTTGGAACACCTTGGCGGGCATTTGATTTCGAGAGTGAAAATAATATAAAAAAAATATAAATTTTTTAATAATCAGTGATTTTTATTATGATGAAAATATTAGATTTTTAAATTTAATTTACGAAATCTCAAATTACGTAATAAATACATTTTAATATAATGTCTTTCATGAATAATACATTATCGATATTTCAACTGTTAATTATGTTATTAAAATTAAACTTATAATAGTTATTAAATAATAAAAATAAAGAAAATTTTTATTTTTATAATATTAAAAATCATATGGTATATTACAAAAGAAAAAATATATATAATAAAGTTAGAGATTATATTTTTTTAAATATAAACGTAGTCATTGACTCAAAAAAATATAACATCAAATATAAAGTCAAATACTATGCTTTTCTTTATATATATATATATATATATATATATATAGACAAGTCCTCTTAATCAGATGGTAACAAAATTAATTGTGTTCTCATCTGTTTTCTAATCTAACAGTGACAATTATCTCACTTATGATAAATATCTCACCTGTAATAATAAGTCTGTTTTTATGGCTTTAGGGAAGTTACATCAACTATTAGAAGGACATTACAAAGAGCTTAAGTCATTGGATTTTGGGGTTGTGATTTAATGTTTGCTTTAAAACTAAAATAAATAAATAAATAATGTTGTGACGTACAAGCTCATGAACCTAACCGTCGTATTTAGGGAATGAAAAAAATAAGTGCTAAAAAAGCATTTTTGAGAAAAACCAAAATAAGGAGTCATCATCAATTTTTTTTAAGGCGTGATTGGTCACTCAAAAATTTTATTCTTTTAATAAAACATTTAAAACGAGTTTAAAATTTAATAAAAAAATATTTTTACGATCTACAAAAATCAAAGTTAAGTGCGGGAGTTGGTTATACAAGGAGAATAATTAGCACCCTATAACGCCTATCAAAGACGATATCAATTAATTAAATGTTATCCTTAGATTTTGATAAAGATGTCCCACTTTAATGTTTATAAACTAGTTCCTTTATTTATTCCAAAAAAATCAATTTTTTCTTTTTTCTTTTGAAAGCAAATCATTTTTAAATTTTTGTTTCGAAAGCAAAACTTTTTTTTTGAATCAAAATGAAAATATCCTAAGTATCAAAATACTTTTTTCACTCTCTTATATTTAGATAGAGTTTCAAAAATATCTTTAACTTAAAAGTTTTCAAATTATCTCACAAAACTAAGATAATACCTCACATAAAATAATAACCATTAAGAGTCTTCTTACACTTAATTAAGATTTTAAAAGCTATATTTATTTGAGATATTATCTTATTTTAAATACTTTTTTTTGAAAAGCCTTATTTAAAAAAATGCATGCATGCATGAATATAATAATAATAATATGAATGCATGACAATTGAACATGAATGACAAGGTATAAAGGCATAACAATTTAAGAATGCATGTAACAACAAAGTAAGATGAGATGCAAATGCATGAATGGGATGAAATGTTGGTTTTAAGGTTTGAGGGTTGGTTCAGTTTTTTAGGGTTTAGGGTAGGTTTAAGTTTTAGGTTAGGGTTTGGTTTATGGTTTAGGTTTAGGATTGGATTTGAGGTTTGTATTTGGAGTTTGGGGTTTGAGGTTTAGGGTTTGAGTTTTGGAGTTTAGAGTTTTAGGTTTAGGGTTTAGGGTTCAAATTTGGGGTTTAGGGTTTAAGGTTAGATTTAGGGTTTAGATTTGGGGGTTTAGATTTGGGGTTTGGGGTTTAGGGTTTGGATTTGGGGTTTTGGGTTTATAGTTTGTAAGTAGGGTTTGGATTTGAGATTTGATGCTGAGGGTTTGAATTTGAAGTTTAAGATTTAGGGTTTGTAATTGAGGTTTGGATTTGAGGTTTGGGGATTTATGGGAAATGCATGTGAAAAAATTACAAGAATGTCATTGATAAAAATGCAAACTTTGATGCATAGGTGTAATGTGACAAAAATTTCCAAAATGCTATCAATGAAATGCAAACTTTAATGCATAGATCATGTATGAAAACAAATATATTATAAACTTAAGCATATTTACAAATATATTACAAATTCAACATACATGTAACATTGAGGTAAAAATGGATCAAAACCAGGAGTTTTAAAATTTTAAGACATGTTCTACCATTTTTTTTGTTTTGAAATTCATGCAAACAAACTAAAATCACTAAAAAGTCTACTAATTCAACATTTTTATTCTTTGAAAACTATGATTAGATTAGTGGTTTGTGTATAGTGTTTGGCTAAATAATGATGTTTTTTCATAGTTTCTCTATTAAGTACTTTGCTACATGTTTGATAAAATTTCTCTTGAGATTAAAATGCTTCTTTATCATAGTTGCATAAATGTTTAATGTTTGTTTTATCTAATTAAAGTCCATATACATAATTTAAAAGCAAGGAAAACACATCATAAAAACCAAAAAGAGGTTCAACCATAAAGAGAGTAAGCTTGGCCGAACCTTCCAATGGATGTTTCAATGGTGGATTTTGTTTTCTTTGATCTCTCTTATCTTATATCAAACTATGGACTAGTTGATTGAATTGTTAGATCAAATTTAAAGCTATAAACACAAACAATTATAAATTTTTTTTAAGAAAAAATTAAAAAAGAAAGCAAACAAATATGAAATAATATGAAAATGCAATTAGATGTAATAAAATGTAAGGAAGAAAACTAGTAAAGATTATACCACCAAGCAAGCTCCCAAAATTTTTTTTATTTTCTTTTTTTTCCCATTGTTTTTCATGCTACCCAGCTGCTTCCTTCCCTTTATTCAGCTGTAAATGATGAATTTATAAGCCATGCAAAATAAAAAATGGCCCTTGATCATGAGATGCATCTTAAGGCTAAAAATCCATCCTTGTTTATTCATAAAGCAATCACCTTTCACCTTTGGATCAAAGCTTTCAATTGTCCAATGGTCCATGATAAATTCAGTATAAAGTGAGGCTTTAAGTGGTACTGAAACCTTGTGAAAAGACTAAATTACCCTTATTAAAGTTTTTACCTTTTGTGCCATTTTCTTGGAAAACAATGTTTCCTTCTTCATTTTTGTGATTTTAAAGCACCAAAAATCTTAAAATATTATGAAATCACAATCTGAAAGTTTTCTTGAAAAATCAATCCTAAAAAGGTCAAATTATGCAAATACCCCTAAAGGTATTTTAGTAATTTTACACCTCTTGGGGTGCGATTTGGGATTTCAATACATCAAAAATCATAAAATAATATTTAAGTGTGATCTAAAAGTTTTCACGAAAATCCAACTTCAAAAAAATAAAATTACAAAAATACCCTTTAAGGACATTTCGATAATTTTATCATTTTCGAAGTGCAACTAAATTTTTCAGTGCATTAAAATCACAAATATTAATCCCAAGGCTTATTAACACCATTTGGTTGTGAATTTTGAAGATTGACCCCTGCTCGATCCGATTTGACTAATTTTGACTACATTTGACCAAGTTTGATTCTATTTTACAATGTTTGGCTAAATTTGACCTTAGAATATTTAGGTCAAATTGGTCTTAAATTCAATTATGAAAACTTGTCAAAATTAAAAATATATTATATTTAAAGTGGGTTGGGTTTTAAAAACTTCACAACTATTCAGATTTTATTCAAACAAAATTAGATCTTTACAAAGTTGAAACATAATCTTTGCTCTAAAACCAGAAAAAAAATAAATAAATGACTACATTTAATGACTACATTTTAAAAGTCAAAATATAACCTTTGCTTTAAAAATAGAAAAAAAATGACTATATTTAATGACAACATTCTGAAACTCAAAACGTAGTCTTTGCTCTAAAACCAAAAAAAAAAATAAATGATTATGTTTTAAAAGTAAAAAACGTGGTCTTTGTTATTTTATCAATGATTACCTTCTTATGCCAGAAATGTAGTTAATGATATTAATTTACATTTCTTACATAAAAAAAATGTATTTAAAACACTCTAAAAAAACGTAGTTAAAAGTATCTTATATCAATAACTATGTTTCTATAATAAGAAACATAGTTATTGATATATATAAATTTATCTATTTATCAAATACTATATTTCTTATATAAGAAACATAATTAAAAGTAACATAAATATTATATTTTAATATTATATCAATTACTACGTTTCCAAACTAAAAAACGTCATTGATTTGAAAATATCTATTTTATTATTATTTTAATTGATCTATTATGTTTCATATATAAAAAACATAGTGCTTTTGAAAATAAAAAAAAATATTATTGAAGTTAAATGTAGAACAAAATTAACTTTCCTGTTAAAATCTTACAAAACCATATAGAGAGGTAGACTTTTGATTTTGGGCTATTTGAACATTGTTGGGAATCTTAGAATAAACTCAGCAATCAAACACCGCAAACCAAACATGGGAATTAGATTACAAAAAGTAAGATTTGGGGGAAAAATCTTTCCCTAAACCAAATACCCTTTTAATGGTTTCTAATAGAATACTTGTAAAAATTTTTATGTTTTTTAAAGGCAGAGAAGTAAGTAGATGTTAAATTATCTCAATGATTAAGATATTTGAGCTCGTTTGGATAACTTGTGTAGAAGAATTTATTCAAGTGTTGCATAAGTTATTGTTTAATAAAGATAAACTTTAGTTCGTGATACATGGTATTAGATACAATTGATAACTACTAATGGAAAAACAAGAATGTCTGCTATGAGAAATGAGTTATATGACACATGGATTAGAATTCATTCAAGTGTTGCACAAATTATTGCTTAATGGAAATAAAACTTAGTATATGACACGTAGTATCAGAGATAATTATGATGTGCT